CAGTCCGAGCAATGTAAATAGTGTAAATAGTTACAATACCTCATCTCAGAAATAGAGACAAATGTGGAAGGTGGATATGGCAATAAAGATGAGGACAACAGTCCAAACAATGTAGTGTAAATAGTTACAATACCTCATCTCAAAAATAGGGACAAATCCTGAAGAATACCAGAGCGTATACCGGCCGAAACGTCGTGAATATGGCAATAAAGCTGAGAACAACAGATTAGCAGATTAGTTTATCCATCAGTTGCATTAACTAAGGTGTAAATGCAATGTCAATCGTTATCTTTTCTCATTTTTATTGTACTTTCATTGTCCTCTCGCTTGAATAACATTTTCTCAATTTCGCTAATGTCTTGCGTCATAGTGGCTTTATCGTCTTGCGTGGGGTGAAATGATTAAAAAAAAAGATAATTTATAAAATGAAGGTTTCATGATCATCTGCGGGAAAATCTTCCCGAAACAGCTAATTAACGGTGTTGAATCGAAATTTAAACATAAATTTCACCTGATGAAGGCCAAAGCGTACAGAAATTCAGTGGAAACATGTAAATCTGTATAAATACAGACGCCGACTCAGGCACATTGGTGTTTCTTCAACACTCACAGGGCCAATTTATGGTCAATACTGCAATGATGCTGACTCAGTAGGAAGCATTTTTCACAGAACAATGTGGAACGGCTGAAGAATATTTGAATCATTTGAAACTTTCGATAAAAACAACACATTTAAAAACATTAAGCTCGGAAATATGTTAGGTTATCTCAGAAATCCAGACAATGTAGAAAAGACGAAAAGTAAAACCTAAAGTTAGAATCCATTGTAAAGAAAAATAATTACAAAATGAAAATATTGCAGAAAGGCGTATGCTCTCAGTTACGATAATTTATGGCGATTTTTAAAACGCAGCTGAGATGTGACACAAGGCTGGAAGTGCGGAGTGCCCAATGAGGATCGAACTCATTAGTTAGTCGTAATCGTTCTAGTGAGACAAACTTGCTAACCCTTACACTTCGCCGAGGTAGCCCGATTACGACAACTTACGACTTCGGCGGCTTTCAAAAAGGTTCCTCTACACTCCATACACAATAATATCAAAAAACCCAACAATTTATTGAAAAATTAAACTGATTATTTTATATTTCCCAAGAGTCTAGACCAGACCCGCGCAAAATACGGCCTGCGAGGGGTTTTCAGAAAAATTAATAAATTCGATGACTGATCACTCACCAAAAAATTCAGTTTTATGGAAGTCTCACTATATTCAACCAATATTTTTCAATATCCGTCTATATTTCTGAGATGAGGTATTGTAGTTATTTACATTGTTCAGATTGTTGTACTCATCTGTATTATAACTGAGACATCCGGAAGAGGCATGGCACGTGGAACTAGAACTATCTACTCCGGTGGATGAAATAAAGGGTTCAGTTCGAAATTCCAATCACCAGAAGAAGACCGGAGCATACGACGGCCGAAACGCCGTGAATATTATAATAAAGATGAGGACAACAGTGCGAACAGTGTAAACAATATTTTTCACTGTCTTTATATCTAATCAATCCTTTCAAATGTCCCTAGAAAGAGAAAAGGAATAGATTTTCTCACCCTTCTTCTCTGTATACATCTCCTTTTTTTTAATCACTTAACCCCAAGCAAGGAGATAAAGCCACTAGGACGCAAGAGACTACTGAATGTTAGAGAATATGAGAAAAACTTCTATTAAGGAGAGAGGAAAATAAACGAATAAGAATTAAGAAAACAGAAGATAACTATTGACATTGCTACCTTTTCGAAGATCAAAGTTGCCTGGGAAGCAAAAATCCGGAAGAGAGTTCCACAAGCGAGAAGTGCGATAGAAAAAGCGATAACATAGAAGTTATGGTTACATCTACCCATTTCATCTGTAAATTGATGAGACCTAGGTGTCAATCTAGTACTGCGCTTAAGTTCATAAAGTCTAGCTACAATAGAAGAAAGTTGATCAGAACAATTAACATGAAAATATTTACAGAAAAGACACAAGGAAGTTACGTTACGACGGTAGAAAAGTGACCGAAGGCGGGATGCCAGGTCAGGACTAATAACATAACAGATTCTTCATTGGATTTTATCAAGAATTACTAAATATATAGCCAGAGCACCAGACCAGATGTGGTAGCAATATTTAAAGCAAGGAAGAATGATAGATTTATAAATATCCAAGATAAATTCCGACGAGAAAAATTGTCTAGCACGACATAGTGAACCAAATTTCTTAGTTGCAGACTTAGGAATTGAAGAGTTAGGAATTGCAGAGTTTGGAATTGAAGAGTTAGGAATTGAAGAGTTAGGAATTGCAGAGTTTGGAATTGCAGAGTTAGGAATTGCAGAGTTAGGAATTGAAGAGTTTGGAATTGAAGAGTTAGGAATTGATACAATATGCTCTTTCCACTTCATGTCAGCTGAAAACGTTAGTCCGAGAAGATGCAAAAAGTGACTCTCCTGGAGGTTAGCATCAGCGATTCCGATGGAAGGCAAAATGGGTTCTCTTAGATGATTAAAAGAGAAAAGTTTCGTTTATCTGCATCTATCTCTTTTATACTCAGTAATTGGTAAATTTGCTTTTAAACGCCCAAATGCCGGCGCGCTAAATATCCCTTAAAATTTTCCCAAATCGTCATAATTCCCTGTAAATGTACATGCTGAACTCGAATTAACATTAAATTTTGGCCTGTTTACTTCCGTTACATAACTTCGTTTCCGAAATCAATACGCACTACCATAAAGCAATGTAATTTTTTTATTATTTTTATTTTATTTTTATTTTGGTGGGTGATAAGTGTAGTTTAACTTAAAATTAAAACAAACAAATAAAACAAAAATGACAAATTAAAAATAACCGTAAAGCCTCGTTTTTAAATTGTAATTTTATTTTCGAAATTAACTGTCTCTTTACAAAGTTTATGCATTTTTTAATTTGTCATTATTTTCATATATTTGAAACTTTTACCTTGGTCTCTTTACAAACATTTATTTTCAATTTTAAAAAAAATGCTTTACTGTACTATTTAATTTGTTCTGTTTGTTATTTTTTAATTTGTCAATATTTTCATATATTTGAAAGTTAACTTTCTTGTTTTATTTTTTTAAAAGTCCTTTCTAGCCTTTTCTTTACATTGTATTTTTTGTTTTGTTTTTAATTTGAAGTAAAACAACACTTATCCAAAAAAATTACATTGCTTTACGGTTATTTTTTAATTTGTCAATTTTATTTTATTTAAAAAAAAAATTCTTTCTAGCCTTTTCTTTACATTGTAATTTTTGTTTGTTTTAATTTTAACTTAAACTACACTTATTTAAAAAAAAAATACATTACTTTACGGTAGTGCGTATTGATTTCGGAAACGAATTTATGTAAAGGAAGTAAATAGGCCAAAATTTAATCTTGCGCCACCGGATGTACTCGGAACTATTTCAGTGAACACTAGGGCAGTAATGGAGGACGAACGACCAACAAGAAGTCTGATTTTTTCTTGTAGATAACTCTAAAAACGGTAGGTTTCTTCATAATTTAATTGCTGATTCGAGTTCAACATGAACATTTACACGGAATTATGACGATTTGGGAAAATTTTAAGAGATATTTCCCGCGCGGGCGTTTCGGCGTCAAAAAGCAAATTTACCCAGTAATTTACTCTAAAATTGAAAAAAAAAAAAAAAGAGAATGTCAATACAAAGTTACTTTCTAATGACATGGGACCTGCTACAAATTTATATATATATATATATATATATATATATATATATATATATATATATATAGTAGGTGTTTTATTGGTTTCCTTTATGTGTCAGAAATATTTAGAAAGGGACGTCTGATTTCGGTATTTACTTATTTTAAAAGAACTTTGATGTTGGTTCCAGCGACTTTTGAATTCATGTCTTGTGCATCCAATGTAGACTTTAACTTTGTCTGGATCCTCAGTAGATGATATATTACATTGATACACTAATGATTCAGTGCGATATTTATTATTAAGAGGACAGTTTTGAGGATTTCTACAGATACATAATGTTTCTTTATCTTCATTTCTTTTTATTATGCTCTCTAATTTTTTGATTTTTAAATTTTGATGTTTATGCTCTACGGAATTGTATTGAGCATTTTTTTTTTAATTAAAAATAATTAATAAGAACACCGGATTATAAATCTTACTGTTCTTTCTTCTTATTTTTATATATATATATATATATATATATATATATATATATATATATATATATATATATACCAATACTCGTTTGGAAAAAAAACTCACATAGCTCAACTTGTAGATGTGTCAAAACAAATCGGCAGCCGAGGAAAAAATTGGAAATAAAAAAAAAAAGAACTAAAAACATCCGAACAGGGCGAAATAAATCGTTCGTTATGCGTAGAGGAAAAATTAGCAATCACCACCTAAAATGAACCTAATAATTTATTAAATCAAAGATCTGATATTCTAAACAGATGTAGACATAGGAAATCCTGGTTATTGGAATAGAGGCTTTGGGGCTTTTTCTGTCACGTGGTTTTATGCTTATTAGTTTTTAATGGTTTTATCAATACTGTTTCGACATTTCCTTTTTAGCCAGCTTACCCTGAAGATCCGTTCAAGTGAAACCTAGGTAGGTTTTTCCTGTCTCTTTAGGATTTATTTATATATATATATATATATATATATATATATATATATATATATATATATAAAATAACCCGTAAACTTTTATCGTAGGTAACAATAATAAAGATAACTTCGAAATCAGTAAATCTTGTCATTAAATAAAAATAAAATCGGAACATCTATTTGGTAGTAATTTGCACTTAATAATTTTCCTTCGTTTTAGTTTCAATGTGTTCTTAGAGTAATTCCAAATTAAGTAAAATATATAATAATATATAAGAATGAGTATACAGTTTGAAATATTTCAATCAAAACACAACAATTAGAAAGTCAAAGTATAAAAAACTTACCAGCCCCTGTCACTAAAACAACGTAACCCTTAACCTCTTTGGTCTGATATTTGGCTGGGATGAGACATTTCATCGTTGCCTCTAGCAACAAATACAACAGGCCAATAAGAGTGTAGATCACATCACATGTGATTTCCAAGTAAGACCTCTCTTCTGATTGGTTATGTGTGTGCGGTGACGTTGACTCACGGTTTGGAGTTGGCGCCAAAGCATTATTGGAGCAGTTAGTGACCTCGGCTTGAAGGTTATTTGCCATCCGGGGCATTTGATTTTCTGAACTCGCAGCAGCCACCATGACACAAAAAGCAAAGCGGAAACAAACGTTTTTTTTTTTTTTGGTTTTTTTTTTTTGTTTGTTTGTTTTTTGTTTCGTTTGTTTCTTGCTTAGGTTTTTGTTTTTTGTTTTTTGTTCTTTTTATGTTATATTCAATTTTTTGTTATAATATTTTGTTGTTTTAAAAGTTGGCTGTCGGTGAATCGGATATTCATTAAAGAAAAACGGAATTGTTGATTGATTTAATTTGTTGGTTGTTGATGCGTGAGTGAGGCAATTTCGAGGAGATCCTACAGATAAAGTGGAACTAGAAACCCAGACTTCATTGTATTCGTAATTTTTGTGCGAATTTATTGCTTTTTCTTTCAGAACTTAGAACAATTTTCTTGAAATGTTTCAGGAAGCTGTGAAGAACCGTAATCGAATGTGTTTTTAATAGGTTTAATATTTCCAGTCATTCCTAATTGGTTCATTTGATACGTTCTTTCGTGATCGTTTGGTATTCAAGATTTCGTAAATTATGTTTCCTTTTCAGTATCTGTAAAAATACAAATTTAAAAAAAATATTAGACGAACATCAAATATTTGCATACAATTAGACAAAAATATTTCATTTTACATTTAACTCTTAGTCACTGATAATACAGTTTATGTTAAAGCAATACTTATCTTTACAGATAGACTGAACCATTAGTGTGTAAATCTCTCCCTTGAGGGGTTTGTAACACATTTATTTATCATCTCTCAGTTGCATCTCTGTCTTTGGGCAGAGTGCACTCCGGGGCGACTCCGTCAAAGGACAGAGTCGCAGCTGAGAAGTACCCAGATCTAGGGAACAGCTTCCCGAGGCCGTGCCCTCTCATTGCACCAGGGAGAAGGATCGATGCTTGCACCGAGGCCAGCGCAACCGACGGTTGCGGGCGCTGCGGGCAATTTTAGTTCCTGGTCCGGGTGTACGCGCTCGGGTCCCCACCTTAAAAAAGACCTTGTGTCACAACTCGTCTTAGTGGGGAGACAGAGTAAATACCTAGACTGAACCATAAGCCTTTTAATTTCGTTCGCTGTAGTATATATATATATATATATATATATATATATATATATATATATATATATATATATATATATACACACACACACACACACACACACACACATATATATATATATATATATATATTATGACTTTAAATTCCTTGGGTAAACATAGGGCCGTAGGATATCGTTGCGGTTTCTGTAAAAGCCAGTTTTTTTTGTTTTTAAATGAGTAGGTTGTTAGTTTTTAATTCAGAGTTGCCACCCAGTTTGTTCTGCTATTTACCCATAGCGGGGGGGGGAGAGGATTTATACCTTTCGCAAGGGTATTAGCACGGAATTCGAACTCGGCTCTCCGATTCCTTAATCCAAGCCGCAATCGATTACTCCATCGTACCTCGTTTCGCTGTAGCAACTGTTATCAAATTCAAAACAATATAGAAAGAGGAAAAACTATTTAATCTTCCAACAATGGACACGCACTAAAACTGCCCTTCATTCTATTGATATAATGTTAACCCTACAGCTTCTGACTTTGAGTGAATATCCTGATATTATTAGAGTGTTTGTAAATTTATTGCGTATTTCACTGCAAGGAATTATGAGGCAGAACCAAATGTGAACAGTAGAAAACTGAATCGAAAATATTTTATTTCACCCCAAGTAAGGTGATAATGCCACTAAGACGCATGTGGTTACTGGGGGGGGTGAAAGAGAATGAGAAGACTTTAGATGGAACCGGAAACTCGATCCTAAATAGGAAACAAGGGATAAACCTTTACGTTCGATTGACAGGAAAGGAGTGTAGTTTAAAAGAAACTATAGAATCCCATCCACATTAAACTACGTGAGCTTTGTCTCCAAATCTTAATATGTTATGTTCAACTATTCATGAACATATGAAATGAGATGGGAAAATTTGTAAAAAGTGAATCTGGATTCCTTATGAGCTTCCGGTTGTCGACCAAACAGAACGTTCCAACATCTGCTGCAGTCTTTTAACCAGGAACACCAACCTTTCATTTTTGCATCGTAATAAAAAAAAAAAATTGGGAATGTCAACAGTAAAGAAACAAAAAACAATGCTGCTACTATAGTATGATATCTACTATGTATTTTCTACTAGTGTATGATATTTACTAATTGTTGGAAGTATGAAATATGTTAGACTTAGGGTTAGAGATAAAGGGGGTGAACAATGAACTGATTATGTATTAAAAATAATTATCGTTTTTATGCAAAAAAATATAAAAATATAATCCGAAAACTAACATTAATTTGGGCAAAGTCGTAAGAACTACGGACGATAATGGGTATATCCTCATTCACTTGAATACAGTAGTAAATACTGTATGTTGGTCTTCAGTTGAAGATTCGTCTCCGGTTGTGCTGGTCAAACTCTCTGCCGCCGGGAAGAGAGGATCCCCAGATGAAGCTATGTCGAAGGTCAGAGACTCGTTTCGGGAAACAGCTACCCGACCTCGTTTTATACAAGACCTACGGGGAATTTTTGGCTGAGCCTACGGGCTCGGATACCCCACATTAAATTCAGCCTTGTGCCACATCTGACCGCATGGGACGGTTGGTAGATATCCTGCAGTTAGAGGTTCATTGTGGAATTCACTTGACTCACTTCTAGCAGTTTACTTCTTCTACGCGCCGCTGGCGAATCTTATATGTGTTGTTCTTTCCTAAGTATTATTGTTCATTACCAACTTTCGTTTGATTATTCTATTCAATAACCTAGGTTACAACAACTTGTAGTGCTGTGAAGTTGCTAGAAAACGAAATCGAAATATTTTTATTCCCAATTTATAGACAGATTTTTCTACATTATATTGTTGCTCTTTTGTCTCAGCTTTTGAGTATCTTCCAACTGTTTAATTAACTTGAAGCAAGAATAATATGCTATTTATTCTAATGGTCGGGAAATCTTCGACCTCGAAAGCCATGATAAAAAGCAATAATAAGATGATGAAAAGATTAACCAAATGCTAATTATAGAACTACTCATCCCAGAATCTAAATAACTCAAGTGTTTTGTCTATGTTAAAATCTACAATCATATTACCACTTCTCTTACTTTCTAAGTCATACTACTAATTTTCAACGCTGTAAACTATTTGACCTCGAAAGTTGTCAAGTAAAGAAAGAAAATATAATAAATAAAAGATGAATTAAAAATTATAAGCCCACTCTTTCTTTTATAGGCGCAGAGTTGGTATAAATACTCACAGTTGAAACATCCCTTGATGATTAGCCTATAAGTAAGCATTTTTGTTCTTAAAAGATCATTGTGATCATTGTGTGTGCGTGTGTGTGTTTACGTCAGAAATGCCAAGACAATACTACTTTTTATAAATACCTTCTGGCACATATCTCTTCTGTTTACGCTTTACATTTCCCTTCTTTAATTTAGCATTATGGACAGGCAAATCCATACTCTAAATCATGCTTAAAAATATATTTCATTCGAATTAATAGAGTAAGCGTTGCATGCAAGGGAGTCGACTCATATAATTGGGATTTCCTTGAGAAATATTGTGGGCGCAAAGTTGGGGATCACTGTATATTTCTCTTCTGATTGAGCTTTATATTTACATATCACTTCTTTAATTTAGCATTATGGACAGGGAAATCCCTCCTCTAAATACCGCTTAAAAGAAGAAGGGCATAGTCTTGTCTCGGGAAACTGACTCCGTTTTTACGTGGTCTATAGGGAATATTTGCCCGACCCTACGGACTCGGATACCCCACTTTAAAACTCGGCCTTGTGTCACATCTTGCTGCGTAGGGCAGTGGGTAAATAATTACTTTTTATAAATACCCATCCAATACTGGCTACTTCGTCAGCGGAGCTTAAAATACGCCAACAAGATTCCCTAAAGGAGAATCTAGATAAGTAAATATGAATCAATTAAATGTTTATACTTAAGTATAAACTACAAATACTTACCACTCCCCAAACAAATAAATGCTTACAGAATCAAATATAAATGACTAATATTTATCTGTCCTCAAACCAATTAAATTCATACAGACTCAAGTTTAAATAACTAATGCTTACCTATCACCGAACCGAGTAAATTCATATTGACTCAAATATAGATCATCAATATTAATCTGTCTCCGTACCAAATAAATTCATATAGACTCAAGTATAAATGACCAATATGTACCTATCCACAAACCAAATAAATTCATATAGATTCAACCGTCCTGTGTATGACGATAAACTACATCCGCGTCCAAGGTAAGACGATAAACTACGTCTAACAGCAAGGTCTCGGATCAGGAGGTTTTGATGAGCGTGGAACCATCTCTTAATTGCTGGTGTTCCCAGGTCCACCCTGACCCGGGGTGGTAGCACCTGTTAGGGTCCCAGCTATGGGCAAATAGTTAAACCGGAAACTGAGGTTAAAATCACTATGAAAGTGTAACAAATAGGTTTTAATATTAGAAATACTTTGTAAAAAAATTATTACTAGAAATAAATTTTCGAAGAAAAAAACTATTACCAGAAATATATTTTTGAAAAAAAATATTACCAGCAATACGTTTTTGAAAAAAACAAAATATTACCAGCTATGCATTTTTAAGGAAAAAAAAAATTACCAGAAATAGATTTTTGACAAAACAAAATATTATGAAGAAAAAAGTAGTCGGCATTAAATAACCCATTGAGGTTGATAAGCCGTAAAACAAAACAAACCAAACCAAATCGTATAGATTCAGGTATCGATGAACAGGGTATTGTTTTTGTATGCGTGTCTAGATTTATTGTATATAAAATACAATTGTGACACAAGGCTGAAAATGGAAGGGGAGAAATGGGCTGAGTCCGGTTTCACTTACTATCTTATAACTCGCTAACCAGAATTCACGACCCATTCACTTATTACAATTTGCACATCTAACAAAAGAACCTACCCATCATTATTCAATTTCCATATACTACAATGCCGCAATACTCTCAGGGGACTTAC